CTCCTCTCTCTCTCTCTCTCTCTCTCTCTCTCTTTCATTCACATATGTGTACAAAATATACGCTTCTACTTACGATCCCCACTTACAGATGTATGATTTATACGCATATGCGAACAAAAGAGAACGCAAAGGCACAAAACAGAGTTTATCTTTTTCTATGTAGACATCAATCCCCATTCCTCAACACTCGGTCTAGGTATACTATGACTGCGTTTCGTAACTACTTTTTTTTGGTAGCCGGGAAAAATGCTTTAGCCCCCCCCCAGAGCGTCCCGAGTTCCGGGGGGAGTGTGGGACTCGGTGGTGCCACCATGCTGTACTCACCCTATACCCACTAAAAAAAAATCCGGTGTGTGCCTACTTGGGCATTTTGCGGGGGAGCCTACTACCAGCGGCATTTCTTCATGCCCCCCTCCTACGCTCTTACCCGCATCCGCTGAAGGCAGATGCAGGCACCCACTGTTGGGACCTTTATCCCTACTTAGGGAAGAAGTCTCGAAGCGGGACTCCCCCTTCCCGTCCGGAACAGGCGTGGCAATTCCACGACCCCCACGTCCAAACCCCCGGCCGGGTCCCACGCGGTCCCGGCGGCAGCGTGGCGCGAAAACATCGCCCCGCCCCCGGGACTAGCACACCCCCGAAAAGGAGGTGACCAGGGCCAGCGTGGCCAGCCCCAGCCCCAATCCCTCTCCAAGGGTGCCAACTCTGCCGGGGGGGAGGAGGCCCCCCAAAAGAAGGCCCCCCTCGGCTGGGTCTCCCCGCTACCCAGCGCAATGCACGGGGTCCTAAGGCGCCACCCCCATCACCCGGAGAGACCCCACTCCTACCATTGGGAACCATTCAGAGGGGGAGAGCAGGCAGGCAGGTACCGCCCCAACTCCCCCCACCCACGGCTACTGCGCCCTTAGGTGCGCCAGCAGCCGCCTTCTGATATTTCTGGAGCGAGCCCCCGGGGCCCGCGGGGGCCAGAGACTCACCTCTTCTCACTCTTTCGGCCTCCTCTTCGCTGCATCACTGCCTCGCAGAAGGAGACCGCCCTCACTTATCCCTCCCCCTCCAGCATCCCCTCAATCAGGGAGGAGAGGTCATTCCTTATAACCGCGGCCA